TCTTCCCTGCAATCCGATTCCAATTTAGCGTCAAACTAAGATGTTACATTCTGTTTTCTTATTTTTATTTTACTAGATGTGAGTATGAGCCACTCATTTACCTTATTTTGTCTCTTGATCATATCCTGTACATCGCTCAGACTTGGCCCCTCATAGTTCGCATTGCATTGATATGTGAACCCGGAACTGAAGCCGTAGATTCACATGCTTCGGTGCTGTCTGTGAGTAGTTTCTCTTTCTCTGTGAGCTTCTTCATTTTCCTTGTAACAATACCTACATCCCTATGCTTATCTGAATACCTGATGGGGTCAACTTTTATGGTTTCATTTAAATATAGAGTAGGGCTAATGATAACGCCCGCAATTTCCACGAAAGTGAAATTCAGTATATTTTATGCTGCCTGTTTTTCTGAGGGCAATTTTCTACCTATGTTCAGCAGAGCAGTCGCCTCGGTCACGCATTAGTATCAGATCACGAGTGAGTACTCCATGCTTAACTTCTCCTACAACCGCTAGCCAGTTTAGATCAGTCACTTCTCGATATATTGACAACCTGTCAAATATATCATTGAACTTTTTCGCTTCTGACTTCTGATTGCACTGGGTTGGTACATATCGATTAAAGGACTTGTTACTGATTAACGTGTTGTCAGACTCCAATAGCGTTATTTCTAATAGTGTGGTTATACAATGGAAAAGTCCACATTCGAACTGAGGTCCATGGTCTGTAGTGATATTAAAAGTGCAGACAAAGTTGGCTACCCACCGTTCGTGAAGGCATGGGCCACTGTTTTGGCAGTAATGTCCTTGATTGGTACTGCTTCTGACCATCGAGCGAAACGGTCATCACAAGTTAAGAGATAAGAGTATCCATTTGAATCTGGTAAATGTTCTACCAAATCCATATGAACATGGTCGAAACGAGCGTCAGGAGTTTTGAATGAACCTAAGGAATCTTTGCTGTGTCTAAACACTCTAGACTTCTGGCAGCTTATTTTGGAGCATGGCAACTCTTTTACGCCTTTATTCATATCTACCAGCAGAATCGTCCTGCTATGAGCTTGATTGATGCACGAACACCTGGGTGAGAAAGATTGTGCATTGTATTGAAGACGTTGCGTCGATAAAGTTTCGGCACGATTTGACTACCTCTACCTGTGGATGTGTCACAATAAGGTTGCCTTACCTGTTCCTATCTGCTTGATACACAGTTTCCGAGTTGTCGAAGACAACTTGTCGAATTATGGTCTACTATGACATTAGTACTGCTATAATAATAGACCTAATCCTAAAATTGTAGATTCGTTATGAAATAACTGCCTAATCTATAAAATCTTACGTGGAAGTCACACCATCGTCTACACCAACTCACTGCATCGTAACAATTACCAAGATGATGGAGAACAAGCTTAGGCTAGAGATAGAACAATATATTTAATATGAATAAAAGTTATAGGGTAACATTCAGTATGTTCCACACCTGCATGGCCGAGCCATGCCATCCAGTCGATTAGGATTCATTCAATTCAATGTTCCCGCCTCCTTCATTCTTCTGTATTTCTCCGCGGTAAATGTTGAATGTCTATTTCCCATATTGTCTCGTGGTAGGGCCCAATGCCATTGCGAACTCCTGCTGAAGATCAGTGTTTTGTGTTTTGAAGCTAGGCGAGTTTAAAAAGGTCGATTCCCTGGAAAATGCTCAAGGAAGTTGTATGGGATAGCGCGTCTGCAGCCACACAGGTTGCTCCAGAGATGTGTTATATATCTGAAGCAAACTGCGAAATATAATCCAGTTGTGGAGACTCTCGAGGAGAGCATTTGCCTGAAGATGAGCTTAAAGCGAAAGTAGGAGGTTTATGGTCGGTGAAAACACTGAATTCTTGGCCTTCAACGGGGTGTTGAGAGTGCTGTACAGAACAATAAGTGACTCGCAGCTGCCTACCGAAATTGCTATACCTCGAATGCGTGCTTGGCAACCGTCTTGAGAAGAATTCCAAAGTTTGCCAGTTGTCGTGAACCCACTATTGTTAGTCTCCTCCGATTACCAAGTTGGACGTTTCTACTGCGACGCTGATGGATACTTCAGTGCCTTGATGTGCGCGCGATGTTGCTCTGGCGAACGATTCCTTAACTATGGAGAATGCTTCTTTCGTATTGTCATCCAATTTGATGGGTTTCGCACCTCCACAAAGTCAGTCAGTTAAAGGTCTCATAGGGGACGTGCAATTTGGTATGAACCGTCCATAGAAACTTACTAGGCCGTTAAACGTACCCAGTTGCTTGTTTGTGGCCGATTCTAGATAATCCAGGATGGCCGTTTTTTGCTTTTCAGAGGTTGGATGCTTTGAGCATCAATAGTGTGTCCAAGAAAATCTAGGGAGTCGATTTGACGTTTCTGAATGTTTACAGTAATGCCATGCTTTTGTGGCCGTTCAAAGTCAATGTCCAAATTCTGGAGATGAGGTTCTCTATCCGGACTTGCAATCAGGCAGTTGAGACTTCGAAAAACGTCGTCGATGGACCTTCGGAAATTTCGCTCAGCATTTCTTGAGCCAAAAGGCATGCAAAAAAACACTTAGAGACCTAAAGGAGTGACTGTAGTGGTTCTAAGAATGCCATCAGCAGCCATTTTAATCTGGTTATATACTTTAACCAAATCATTTTTTGAAAAAAAACAGTTATGTCTTTCGAGGTAGCTGTCAAAACGTGAATATCAGGCAACGGGTAGTGATCAGGAATGGGTTTTGTATTCAGTCGCTGATAGTCATCAGTTGGAAGCCAGTCGTTGCTTTCCTTTTTAGGGACCATGTGCAAGGGAGATGCCCATGTGCCGCTTGATGGCTGAATGATTCTTAAGTCCATCACGTGGCTGAATTCGTTTTTAGGCCACTCTCAGCTTTTCAGGAGCCGGTTGGCGCGTTTTCGAAAATACCGGTGGCTCTGTAGTCATGATGCGATGTGCAACACTGCTGGTCACACATGTCAATTTCGGTTGCGTTTGATATATCTCAAGATGCTAATCGAGCATTCGTTGGTAGTGTGGATCGATCATCTGCCTTACTGTAACTGGGATAACATACAACCGCAGAAAGAAGTTGCACAAACAGATAAATTAGCCATTCCGTCTACTAATCTCTCTCTTCACGTGTCGATGAGTAAATTATGATGTTGTATCAGGTCTAAACCAATTATTGGCATGGAAAAATTTGCGACAACAAAGATCCAGTGAATGTGTTTATGTAGACCCACGCTAAGATAAACGTACCACTTACCATATGTTGTGATCGGTTTTCCGTTTGCTGCCTGTAAGTTTAGAACCAGTTCGTGCAGTCGGGCGTTAAAATTTACAGGAAAAACACTAACTTCTACGCCATTCTCGACAAGGTAGCGAACTTCCGTGATCATATCAGTGATGTATAACAGACGGCTGTGTTTGCAGGCTAACAAGTTTCCGGAGGGGTTTTTCGTGTCAGTCCGTTTGGATCTTGGAAAATTGAAGGGTTTTCTGCTACTTCGAGATTTTCTGTATTTTTTCGGATACCAGCACCAAACAGGGTTTTCTGTCCCTCGTAATCTATAGATAAATCGTTTTGTTAAAATACTACGGGGTGTTTGAAGGCATCCGCGTTCGTGACGAACACTAAAGTAACATGTCAGAGTGCGGCAGAGTTCTTTAACGTCATTTCGTGTCGTTTGAAGTTTTTTTGACTGAATAGACCTCGACGTAAGAAGTTTTGATGATCTCTAGAATTCGGTCAGCAGGTACAACTAATTCGTTTACAATGTTGTTTTGAAACGAGACAAGCACTGCCTGCACCTGTTTGGGAAGCTTAGACAAGAAAAGTCGTCTAAACAGGCTGTTGTCGAAAGTCCCTTGACCAACGACTCCTCTCGCTCGTAAAAACATGTCTGTTGCTGAGCCATGTTGTAGATCGATATTATTGAGAAGTTGCTCTAAGCTTAGTCTACCGGTTGGATCCACGCTTTACAGAATAGACCTTTTTGGAATTTCATAAGGTTCCGCGACATCACTGGTAAACATACTAGGTGTGACGTACCTTTTGAAACCGCATGGTAGTGCTTTCACTTCTGCAATGTACTGTGCACGTGGTTCCGTTACGCCACGCTCGTAGAAATCAGCCTCTGCGTAGCAAAACCGGGCTTCGATGTTATCGGGCCAGAATGACATTAGCTGAAATGAGGGTGGTGAAAGAGTCTTGATCTTAAGTAATTTATGAGTGTTTAGTCATGACTAATAAAAAAATATGGGACTGAACGAAGTGGAGAAAAATATACGAAAATACGAAAAAATACCATAACAAATAGAAATTAAAGTAAATAAATTAAGTTCCAGAAAGGAATAGACTCAGTTTACAAATTGGTGTACCAGATCACGTCGGGCTTACCACTGAAGATACTACGTTAACCAGTAACAAGTCCTATAATCGATATGTACCAACCCAGTGCAATCAGAAGTCAGAAGCGAAAAAGTTCAATGATATATTTGACAGGTTGTCAATATATCGAGAAGTGACTGATCTAAACTGGCTAGCGGTTGTAGGAGAAGTTAAGCATGGAGTACTCACTCGTGATCTGGTGCGAATGCGTAAACAAGAGCTTTCAGTCTAGATGGGTCCATTTAAACTTGTGTGATCAGCATCAAACTCCGAAGACTTACTGAGCTATTGTTTGTGGGGATTTATTTACCGTTATATAAACATTAAATTTTCTTTTTTGATTTCATGATTGGAAAGGTTAATCATGTTTATTTCTATACCTCATGCCTTGCTATCCACCTTGTGCTGGCACAATCACTTCATTGATTAATCAGTTATTTCACTGTAGAAAGATTTTCGAAGTCCACGACAATAGCAGGATTGAAATATGATTTGTTGCGTAGAAAAATCACTTTCTATAGCTCATATGGATGTAAATCAATACATTTTCTCCCATATGACAAATTTATACAACAATCATCACTATTGTTTTACTTCGTTATTTAGTCACGCTTCGCGCTCCTTCTAGACCACACGGCTTATTGACTGCTTGGAGATGTCTCGCTATTTGTTGTCAAGACAAGTGTTTAATAAGGTATTTTGGCCCTGGTTTCTTAGAGTCCCTGTTTAGTTTTTAAATTTGAAGCCTTTGTGCTCTCTCTACTCATCTAGTCCCAAGGGACATGTTGTTGGCATAGATCTTGGAACAACAAACTCATGTGTTGCAGTTATGGAGGGAAAACAGCCTAAAGTTTTGGAAAATTCGGAAGGCTGTCGCACTACTCCATCAGTAGTGGCGTTTACAAGTGATGGGGAAAGACTTGTGGGTGCACCTGCCAAGAGACAAGCTGTTACTAACTCAGCAAACACGTTTTCTGCAACCAAACGTCTCATAGGGAGACGCTATGACGATCCAGAAGTACAAAAGGACATGAAGAACTCTGCGTTCAAAATTATTAAGGCTTCCAATGGAGATGCCTGGCTAGAAGCTCATGGAAAAGCTTATTCACCCAGCCAGATAGGTGCATTTGTGTTAATCAAAATGAAAGAAACTGCAGGTTCGTTTCTTAGTACGTATTATCAAGCAGCTTTTCAGAAAGTTATTTGGGATCGAAGGTGAAAAATGTGGTGATTACTGTCCCTGCTTATTTTAACGATTCCCAACGACAGGTATTTGTCTTTTTTCTCCATCTTAAAGTATATCTAGGCAACAAAGGATGCTGGGAAAATCGCAGGCATGGAAGTTTTACGTGTCATAAATGAGCCTACTGCTGCAGCTTTAGCTTACGGTTTGGATCGAACAGATGATAAAACGTAATTTCACCACTATATATATGCTTTGTTTAGGATAGCAGTTTATGATCTTGGCGGTGGTACATTCGATATATCAGTATTAGAAATTCAAAAAGGGGTGTTCGAAGTGAAATCCACCAATGGAGATACATTTTTAGGAGGTGAGGATTTTGACAATGAATTGCTACGCTTTTTAATTAAGGAATTTCAACGAGAGGTAATGATTGTTTTCTTAAGCTAGTCTTTTTAGCAAGGTATCGACGTTACTAAAGATCCAATGGCGCTTCAGCGTGTTAAAGAAGCCGCAGAAAAAGCTAAAATTGAGTTATCATCTTCCTTGCAAACCGATATCAACTTACCTTATTTAACAATGGACAAAGCAGGACCCAAACATATGCATTTCAAATTAACTAGAGCAAAATTAGAATATCTGGTGGAGCCTCTAATCAAGCGTACAATCGAACCATGTAATAAAGCCTTGAAGGATGCAGAAGTAAAAGCCTCAGATATCAGTGAAATTATACTAGTTGGTGGTATGACCCGAATGCCCAAGGTGAGGTGTATACATTACAAAAACTAAATTATCAATAGGTCCAAGAGACAGTTGAGAAGATATTTGGAAAGACACCTAGTAAAAGTGTCAATCCAGACGAGGCTGTAGCTATGGGTGCAGCAATCCAAGGAGGAGTTCTCGCTGGTGATGTCACAGACGTGCTATTACTCGACGTTACTCCTTTATCACTTGGAATAGAAACTCTGGGCGGTGTTATGACTAAGCTTATAAATCGAAATACAACTATTCCCACAAAAAAATCGCAAGTGTTCTCTACGGCTGCTGATGGCCAGACACAGGTTGAAATTAAAGTATATCAGGGTGAGCGTGAAATGGCAAGCGACAATAAATTACTGGGACAGTTCTCTCTGGTGAGTTCTTAATAACTTGTTATTATTGTACCATATCATATACAATCACGTTTTTCGAATGATATTACTTTGTTTATCGTTTGTAATAGGTGGGAATACCTCCTGCCCCACGTGGTGTTCCTCAGATTGAGGTCACATTTGATATCGATGCCAACGGAATTGTCAATGTGGCTGCACGTGACAAAGGGACTGGTAAAGAACAACAGATTGTCATACGTTCCGGTGGAGGTTTAAGCAAGGATGAAATTGAGAATATGGTGCGAAATGCTGAACAATATGCAGAAGTTGACAAAAAGCGTCGAGATCTTGTGGAATCAATAAACCAAGCAGAAGGTATTGTTCATGATACAGAATCGAAAATCAATGAATACAAAGATCAGTTACCTGCAGATGAGGTACGTTAATGCACCACCTTTAATTGTAACCTATAACCATAAATTTGCGTACACTAAAATACGAATTTCCCAGATTCCACTTTTGATAAAAGAGTTGTAAAAAAATTTAGGTGGACATACGTGTCATGTAGTCAAAAGTATCTATTTATTGCAAATAGCTGTGTAGATAGTCATCATTACTTTCTCGTTTTTCTTGGGACAGCAGACAAAATGGCTAAAAATGTAAATTTCATGTTAAATCTTTGTTTTGGATTTGATATCTCACGCTCATCCTATTCTCATTGTCTTGCCATTCTTACGAAGTAGTTCAAAACGACGTCACCCTGGACCGATGCGTTTGTGTGCACGGTCCTACGCTGTAGCTAACTGACCATAACGGCACTGAATTCTCTGCAATCTAGCCATCCAAATCGAAGAATTCGATGTTATAAAGTACTTTGAAATAAAGCTTTGTAGCCTGTTCAGCTGACATTTATTCGAGACTTAGTGTCAACTGTCCTGACTAGCTATTTTAAGGATCTATGTGGAAGCAATAACGCGCTCATCTATGTTATTAACATTCAGTATAAACGAAGAGGGTGTAGTACTATAGCTCATGTTAGGTTGGGGTAAAGGCAGTAACAGAAGTTATTTTTTCTGTGTAAAAGCGTAAACTTATTTTTCCGAGTTTCACCTACCAACTCAGCCTACTCACATATTATGCTCAAGTATATCAAATACATATGCACCACACAAGCCACTTAATTTTTGTGTGAGCTGTGATACTATTCGGCTGCCCAGACCAAAGCAGGTGGTTTTCTTAGGGGTCACACCCAGAGCCTTTCACCTAAAGGTCTGGTCCACAAGGCAGTGGAGCAACGTCAGGAGATACATTCCCATGGTAGCCGGTGACCAATAGTTGGTTCATACTCCATTTGTTCTCCAGGATCCTGGAGACCATGTACACCATTGGTTTGGAATTAGGGTTTTCCAACTTCCCTATGTGGACCCTCTCACTTTCGTAAACAACACTCCCGCCACGAAAAGGCAGTGAGTAGGACTTTCCTGACAAAGTTTGTATACGCGTAGCCACTTAGGAGTATTTCGAGAGGAAGAGCTGACTCTCCCCATTTTCGGCCGAACCAGGTCATTTGGGGTTACTCTTAAGCAGTTTCAAGCCACACATGAGAGTCATAAAATAGAGCATGGCACAGATGCCTGTCAGCCTAAATTAATGAGGCATATAAAGTGATTTCTACCAAGATTTAATTAACTACTCAGTATTATTTCCGTTCCCTTATTTTTCCTTTTGCTTAGATGCTATAGTGTGGCAACTTGGTATGTTTTTATAGCGTACTTGGGAATACTTCTGTGATCTTTGGTTGAATATGGATTACAAATTAGGTAGATTTCTTGAGAAGGTAGTATATGGTCGGTTGACTTTAATATTTAAACATTTGGAGTTTGATCAGACCCTCTGACATGTAGTTAAATCTCCAAGTTCACTGAATTAGTGTTAATGTCTATAAAGAACATCCTTCATCGCAGATCGTTTTTATATACAGATGCAGTAGTCATATTTTGCCAATTTAGTGTGTCTAAGTAATGCTTTTTTAAACTTTAGAGGGAGAAACTCAGTGTGCTTATTGAAAAGTTGAAAAGTCGGTTGAGTAACAAGGATAATGAAACTGCTGAAAGTATCAGAGAAGCTACTAACGAACTTCAGCAAGCATCCCTCAAGTTATTCGAAGTTGCCTACAGAAAGGTTAGTTTTTTATAAGTTAATAATTTGATTATGTTAAACAGATGGCAGGTGAACAGGGAACAAAGACTGACTCTCAAAATGAGGAATCAGCCAAACAAGAAAAGCAGTGATCAACAGTTCGTTGTCAGGATTTCTTCCTCACAAATGTATTTCCTTCAACCTTTTAATTCTCAGAGTGTGCTTTATCGGAAATCAATTAACATTTGTTCTGGTGACAATAACGATTGTTTGATTGTATCTTTTTAATTATTAGTTCCTTTAGAACTCGTCACTTGCAATATTCTTAAAATTATGTACATATTTTAAAATGTCATCAATAAAATTTATTTCGGTTTATCACCAATTATTCTGAATACTTGTAATTAGTACCTTCTGAATATCCCTGTTGGAATTTTGAAATTAATCGTATGAAGTAAAACAGGCTTCCTAAGTTCGCGATTTAAATTGTCCAAACTGCGATCGGTTTAGCATTTCGACCGCAGTGTGCAGTTCCAAGCCTTTGTATATCCGTTGCTACTCGAGAAAACTGGTTTAGCAAAACTGTTATTTATCCCTTATCACTACTTCGTTTCCGGAAAGTATGTAGTCAGCCGGTTTGTTAAGATGTTTTTGGTTGTTATTCATGAAAGTTACAAATCCTCATGATCTATCGATTTCCTCTTTAAAGTGATATTTTGGAACAGGGTACTATAAATTATTTTTCTAATTGTAGTATCAGACTAAGGATGACGAAAATGTTGATGCAACCACATAACCAATTAGTGATCTGTGTACCCGGATTCAGACTACATTCTTCGTTGCCAACTTGCTGAGATCAAGTGGAGTAGTGGTATTCACTTTGGGATTCGATGGTGATATTCACATTGCCGAAGTCTGGTACCTCAGGGCATGTAGCGTTCACCAGCGACCTCCATCCAAATCTGCACCAAATTCCTTCCTCTTTGTGAAGGGTGTTCATGGTTTCCCTCGAATTCCCTGTACCATATATTCCTTGTTCTCTCTCTAACTATTTTTTAACCAGGATGCAGTTTTCTTTGATTGACGCTTTTGTAGTGGGGTTCGTTTTGGCGTAGTACTTTTGCTAACCATGATCCCAACCCTCCCTCCGTGCATGGGATTGTCAGTAACTAGAAAAAGGAGGAGGTTAGAGACTTTGAATGACATGGCTCTAAATCATTTGCAATCGTGCAGGTGCATCTACTCTTTTTGTTCTCCCAAATTCTAATCTGAATTCTCCTTGTCTCTTTTTTTCTCTTTCCAAATTTATTTCACTGGATTATACTCCTTGAATAATATCTTCGAACCTTAATCTTTTGGATTACTGCTTATACTTTCACTACCTCTACCACTATGGGATTTGAACCGGCAGCTGCATCTCTGCTAATGTGGTATGGCAACTCGAACTGACGTACGTAAGGAGTTCTACCTTGTTACTGACTGACTGAGAGGAAGCCCAGTATTTGGTGCGTTATACTGTGCAACGGTCTGCTCCGTCCTATCCTATGAGTGTGGACTTTAGGGATAAAGTGTATTCATAGGTAACTGTTATTCGATCATTCGTGTCTTAGGACAATCACCCGTGTATTTTGGGACTATCGAGTAAGGAGTTCTGAGGTGCTGTATACCCAACTTCGATGTGCGATGGCTGTCTGGTGTAGGAGTAGGCCGGGAGAAAGCTAGGAGCTCCAAAACCTATATATATATATATATATATATATATATATATATATATATATATATCACTAGCCCGTGAAGTTATTGACAGTTGGTCTGAGCCATGTTAATAGATATCAAGTATATGGTTGAAGTCCGCGTGGTTATCGTAATGATTGGGTAGACTGGTTGACAGCTCGAAATCGTACTCAGTGGCTCAGATGCACTGACCTTTTTGTCTTGCTTCAGAACAAGCAGCACGAAATCTCACCTAATCTTTCGAATTACTTCTGATAATTTTTTTACTTCTACTACTGGTAAGTAGTTAGTAGTCTCGGTTTAGCCCTACATCTTGATTTTCACCGTTGGGTTATTTTCACGCCAATCTTTTTGTCCCATAAACTCTATGGGCTGCGATTATTGAAAGGTTTTGTTTGAAGTTGGGAATGTTTATTGGATCGAGACTCTGTGTATCACTCAGTTCAATTGAATAAGGTGTAAGTATACCTTATTGATAGAGACGAGTCTAATTCACCGTGCAAAATTGTTCTAAATGTGGTTATCTAAATAAACCAAATACTAGTAACTTCTGTATGTAGTGACTAATAATCACCTAATTCCGTACAGATTACCAGTTTGTAGTGTGCCTAACGAATCTTTCTGTTGATTTTATATAGTAAAGGATCAGCTGGTCAGAATGCTAAAAACACTGGTACTAATTTCGACTGTCGTAGTTTCTGAGAGGTGTAGAGGATTATCGAACATACAGACTACTAAATCGACGAAAAGAAGACAATCGCTTCATTTCTCGTCTATATTTCCTATCATATATTTCTACTGAACATAATTCATTAAAATGATTACCGAATTTCATCATCTAGATAGTGATTGGTTAAAAAATTTTCATTTCTGGATTTCGATTGTTAGGATTGATTATATACTTATTAGCTTAGCTACTTATTATTTCGTCCCATTTAATGTCAGTTTACTTTGATTTTCAAAAGGAAACTAATTCGGTACTTGTTTATCCGTGATACCATTTTTAAGTCTGAGTGGCTCGTTTGTTTGCTCGTAATATACTTTATTTTTCTGGACTCCGTAAATTTTTGGCGATCTGAAGGTTCGAAACTGAGTCATTTTATTTGACGCTCTGAATTTTTTGACTCTCATTCTATCGAACATTCCAGTCGTCTGGATCTATAAATACATCGTTTTCTTTCTACACGGTCTTTAAAATAAGTAATCTTCCTATGCTTACTAGGAAATCAGTGCTTTTTAACTAAATAGAAATGATAAATAATGTCAACCACAGGTCTAACTATTCATCACTTTAGGTTGATTGATTGTACTTCGAATTCTTGTCTTCAACTGTATGCAGGTAGTAATATTTAGTTGCCTCGACATATCTTGGTAACTAGGTGGGTAAGGAGTGATTCATTAGTGAATGGAAATTTTATAATTTTCATATAAATATGATAGAAGAGGAAAATTGATGTGAGCCTCTTATCTAGTGGATTTATTCTAAGTCATCAAACGGAATAGTTGGATAGATCGGAGAGTGAAATATGTTAAAATAAATTATCTAGAAAATTGTAAGTTACAGGTCCTCCAGTATTACGAGAATGGGTTATATGGTCGATCGCGTCTAGTTAAATTTTATAGTGCAGGTCAAAAGAAAGAGACTTTAAAAATAAATAACCGGCTCTTAAATCCATAGTGCTACACATTCGTTTTAGCTTGAATTATTCTTTCAAACTGTTTGAAGACGTTTAAAATTTGAAGATTGCATGATCGCTTTCAGTAGGCATTGTATAGTCTTCTGATTCATAGTTTCTTGAGTTATATGGAGTTGAGTAACGTCCCGTTTCCTGTCATTGTAGTGTACTTCATCTGGTAGGTACATGTAGGCCGGTAATTATAGATCCAGATGAAAAAGTTGAATTTTTGTTGATACTCTTCTGCTAAAATGAACATTATTTTTTGCATACGACAAACAGCTGGTACATCATGATGTGTTTCGTCTTCATTTTTTAAAGCTTATCATCTAACGACGATTAAATTTGGTTTGTTTCAAAGTTGGTTTCAGCTAATCCGATTGTTTTTCGTAGAATTCTTTCATAAAGGCCCGAGAATATCCATTTTGCACTATAAAGTCTCTGTGTGGAACAAAATCCTTCTAGTTTGTTAAAGTAAGTAGTAAATAAAAATCTGATTATCAATTTAGTTGTTTCTGTCCTAAATACATACCAACAAGTGGCAGATGTATAAGTCAGTTTCAGTAAACATTCTTCGCAGTTCAGTAAGAATATAAATCTACCAATAACGAAATCAATTTATTGGTCTCATGAAAAATTTCAATAAGTTAGATACATCACATTGTAAAGTTAAAGCCTAATTACCATTTGTTCAATTGTATCCATACCTGCAATGACAGGGATAATTAGATACACTTCTTTATTTTTCGATTTATATTCTTAAAGTCCATTGATTGAATCTTGTTATTGTAGGATGGTTAGCTTTTAAAATAGATGAAATTTATTTGAGTTCGTTAATTTCTGAAAAGGTTTATTGAATTTTTTAATTAGTGTAAGTTTAAGCATAAAGAACAAATGATAGAGCAAATTTTATTAGTTCTAGATGATTACTATATCTTGAGAGCAAACACAAAGATTTAAGCAGAATAACATGAATTCATTTTATTTTCTTATGTCTTTATCAGTTACTTATAATTATTAAACAAGTTTACATACTTATACAAGCGAACTTGATTAGAAGTGAATTAGTATCATTATGATGGAGCGGATATTTCACTAAAGTTAATAACATAGAAAAAATTGCTTAAGATAAGTACAGTGTGAGAGAGAAAATCCTAGAAAATCAAAATTGCAACCAAAGATCGCAGGCGAAAATTTTAGTTGATTACGCAATTTAGCAACGGAACACAGGTTAGCGGTAGAGGAGAATAACATGAATTGGGATCAGTCAGTTTGAAATAATTGAAAGAATTGAAAATGATGTGGTCAAGGTATGAGGAAGAGTTATAAAAGTGGTGAGGTAATAAAGTGAATGTAAAGATAGATTTACCACCTGATTCTTTAAAAACAAAAATCAGGTTTCAGAAAGTCTCAAAGGACTTTATTGGGAGCTTCACTCCATCATGATGATACTCATTCACTCCTAATCAATTTCGCTTGTATATATATGTTAACTTATATGGTAGTCTTAATGTTAAAATATTATAAGTTGTAAGCAGCTGATGAGGACCTAACAAAATAAAATGAATTTGTGTTATCCTGCTCAAATCTTTGTGTTTACTCTTCAAGATAATAAACGTTATTATGGGTATAAAATTATTGTATCTAACTGGATCTATGAATTGACCTGGGAAAGACAGTGGACTGAGCATCAAGTCTGGATTGACGTATGTTTTTAGATTTTGCTTCTTATATAAAGTTCCGATATATAATCTAAATGCTCTAAATAACGGTTGAGGGTTCGATTTCGCTTCTTTTTTAACGATATGTTGAAATTCAGCACAAATCAATAATAATATTTGGAAAGAGATGTTGGAGATTGTGTTGTTCAGTACACGTAAGTAGAAACTTACTTATATGAAAAAAATAACTGTAATCTATGTGTTGACCCTCAATAAATGATTATTTTTGGAAAAAAATCAAACAAGGGAAGA